GAGTATTCCGCAGTCGGTAGCGCCCGACTGCAACGTTCTTACTTGTTTTTTTTTATGTCGTGTCAATGAACTTGGGCCGTCCAAAATCAATGTAAACCCCTTGGGGCATCCGTTGCGCCTCCCTCAGCATATATGTACATATGTAAACACATATGTATGTGCATATGTATATGCGCTTCGTCGCTATTCCTGTGATTCCATTATCGCGGGAGCGCAAATTCTACTCTGAATCGCGTGATATTTTCTTAATCAGCGGCGGTCAGCGTAATTCAATTGATTAAAGCCCCAGTAAGTGCTCTGTGCTATAGTTGATCCTCCACACATGTGTACTATAGACGTAGCAGCTATATATACATATATAATTCCATTCGGCACAGATTTCTTTGGTGTCGCAAAATCTCCGGGAGCAAAGGTTCTTCGGTGGTTGGTTGTTGTTGTTGTTTTTATGAATGATGATTGGACCACAATCTGCTCTGTCTACCCAAAATCCATTTTGTTGTTAAGGCCGTCTTCAGAACCTTATCGGTTCAATTGAGTGACGTCGTTTAGCATCACAGTTTCTTCGATTGCCCCGACTAGTATGACTAGTTGAAAATATTTATGCTATGGCTAATCTACGTATTTTCTGGGCCTTGGTCATGCCTTGACGCTCTACAAAAACTGCTTATATAATGTCATTACATTTACCAGTACTTCCCATCGTCTAGTAATAGACGTGGCCCAGTCTGACTATTCGATATAGGTGACGTCGTGGCTTGTTATCTAGATGGGCTCACCTGGCAATTGACTGGAATTCGATTCGCATGCTTTTTGCTGTCGTGAGTTAAGTGAGTGAGTTATCAGTTGTTATACACATAACCAGCTATGGTACATTCATTCTTTTCGGCTTCGTGAGTGGACTCTCTTGCATAAACAATAATTATTTAATTGCAATTAACTGGCCTCGTCACATTGATATCATGTATTCGGTTATCTACAACAGTTTCTGCAAATCACTTAAGACATATTGCTATATATTATATTATATTATATTGTTTAGGTTTGGCAAGCTTTAAGCATATTTATCTACAAACTGACATCCGCTTAAAATTCTGTAGTGTTTTATAATAATAAACAATGTATACTCTATGCCATTGGGTGTCCCTTTGAAATACGCGAGCTTATTTAACTTGTGGATAGCAATAAAATACCAACAATATTTACACGAATAAATTTCGTAAGTTTTGGGACAAAAGAAATGGGCAAGTGTTAAATTAAAGCCTCTCGGCACGTACAAAACATTTGGCAAGAACTTGTCACGTGTTAGCAAGAAATGCGCTTGGATTCCCGCATTCCATACATTTGATATATATGAGTATATAGTATACGTATATATATGACAAATGAATGCAATGAAATCAATGAAACTCATCATGTCTCACACACAAGCATCACACGCTGTTGTGGCGATTCACAACTGATGATCGTGTCCAAAGTGCGACGATGGCGACGCTCGACAAAGAAAGA